TAAATCACATTTATCTTACCACACAAACCCAGCACAGCCCGGTTTGTTTTCTCAGCAAATCTACTAGAACTTGAAGCGAAATAACAAAACTTAACCGAACTAAAATGTTTAGAAATTTGTAGATTAGATTAAGGTTACATCAATAGATAGAGACATGCAAGGGCAGAAACACTGATAAATATTTTGGCAAGAAATAAAGATTGTTAAAATAAATATTAAACGGAACACTCATCGAGATCTATGTATGACCCACGAGTCGTGTAAAAAAATTTAAAATCATACTTCTTGTTCCACTGTGAAGAAGGGACTTAATATCATTTGACTTTCATTTTTACCATTCAGAAGAATATCCCGTTAGAAAATTTTTGTTCAGCTCCATAAATAAATATTTTTTTTGTGCAAAAACCGTACCTCAATTGAAAGAAATTAAAATACCAGATGTGCTCAGGAAAGAGTGATGAAAACCAATGGCGTATCACTTGAATATAAAAATGAATCAGTCGAAACCTGCTTCTGCAAAAATAAAAAAAAAATTGTTCAATCAATGTTGGTTAAATGTATTGGAAAAAAATCGGTAAAAGCAACAGTTACTGGTTATTTATTAAATTTTATCCGCGTTTTCTGCATATTTGTGTCTCAAATAAATTCAAATTCTCATTCAAACTTTCAATCGATTCAAATTTCGATAGAATATAAATATTCGAAAGAGTACTAGAATGAACCAGCCTGTAATTCATCTTTACCTACTCATAGTTAGATTTCGAATTTAAAAAAGTTTCTCGAAAAATCTGAGAAAAGTCGACGTTAGTTTCAGTTTTCTATTTTTACGCACTCTTTATTAAAGTATCTAAATGAGGTGTTCAGTTTTGAGAGATAATGAAGAATACGCCTTGGCTGATAAATTATAATTAAAATGATTTCAATTAGCGCCTTATTGATGGTGTTTTGTTATAAATACTGTACTTAGAAAGCACTAAAGTAATGGTTTTTAGAAACTTATCAATTGTTTCAATACTAGACAATTAGCCAACAAGTATTTTAGAGCGAAATGTCTCATTAGTTACAAGACTAATCAAAAGCATTGCAATTGAAAGTGCGCAGAGTTTTAGAATGTCGATAAAATCTCAATTTAATCAATAGTTAAAAGTACTTTCTTTCTTCCGATTGACAGCTAACATATTTAAACTCATAATTAGTTGATAAAAGCGACCATAAATTGAAATGTGATTTCCAAAAGAATGTTTTCAGGCACCGCATTGCAGATTTACTTAATTAACCATCTGCCGCACGTATTAATATCAATTTGATCAATAAGCGAAGTTGATTTTAAAAGAATTATTCATTTGGTTTCAGCGATTGTAATTTTTCCAACGGACTTTTTGTTAAAGTAACATTGAGATTCAAGAAAAAAATCTAATCAAAACAAAAGTAATTACGATTTGGAAAGATCAGTGTTGCTGCCTTGTAATATTTAGATTTTATCATTTCACTTGTACAGTAACTCGAAACAAGCAAGGTAAATGACAAACCGTTATCTGTTTTATTAATACTACATTTTAATTTGCATTCAGCGCTTTTTCCACGTTTTTAGAATGTTAACTCACCAAGCAGTAATAATATTGCTTACTGTTAGCAAACTGTACTTTAAATCATACTAAAACTGCCCTCGTGCATTTTGCAATAATTTAATGCATACACGCTTAGTCGCTTAGAATATGTTGTTTATGTGCATTTTAAAAAGGGTGACAACCGCAAAGAATTTAGTCTAATTCATATGTAAAACATAAAGTCTTTTGAAGATTGACGAGTGAATGACCGCATAAAATATACTAAATGAATGATGATATTTAATACAATAATGGTTAAAGAAAAGGATAATGAAAGTAATTTTAATTAACCAGACATAAATAACTGTAATTTAATTAATCAAAAGTCCTTTCGGAATTAGCTAATTAAATATGCCTTGAATTATTTTGCTAATGAAACAATTTAATAAAATAAGCAATGTTATAAGCAAAAGCATTCATCTCTTAAGTTCTAGTTGATATTATGTAGGTACACAGATTGAAGAACTTTTATCAGGGCTTTTTTGAGTATTTGATTGGGTGGCAAGACTAAAGCAATCAACAAATACCATTTTACGCAATTACAACTGTATTTACCGATCCTTTTGCGTTAATGAAAATTTCAATATTCAATCAGAAATTTTATGGCTCAAGAGAGAAGTTAGATATTTTTAGTATGATCAATATTTACATTAATACATACTGATGTATTAGACTGCTGTATGTTTTAGCCACACAGATATTACAGAACCGCTTACATATTAGTGACCCACATCATTAGCTAATTATTTTGACCGAATAATTGTTATGTAAACAAACATTCAACGAACTAAGGATGCTGATTGGAAAACGTCTTTTAAATTAGAATGTATCTTAAATCCTTAGTTATAGCCATTTTTAGATATAAAAGTAATTTATGGAAATTAGCAGTTCTTAGGCAAGTGATAACTAGCGCATTATCAAACACTCTTCTGGGATTACTTAACTAAAGAACGGTGATTAATCACATAATTACTGCTGCATATTTCTTGTTGGAAAACGACCATAAGAGCATCAGCCAACCCGGTTTCTTAATGTAAATGTTATTAAGATAGTGTTTTATTTAACTTTACTTATATGTATGTTGATTTTGAACGAAAAATCACAACTTCACGTGCAGTTTCGATGCTCCAAGTACTGGTGCAAAGGAAATAAGAATGTGTTCCAATTTAGCAACCGGTAATTATCCAATTGTGCCACATTATTACTATTTCACGGTAATATGAAACAATTAGCTTAAAAAATTATTGCGGAATGACGATTAGTGCAAGGTCTTCAAACTGGACAACGCATTTTTTTTCTAGTTAGCAAATAATAAAATGTCGCATTTAATAAAACCACTATAATAAATGATGTTGCTTAGACTACCATTATTTGGTATGGGAACGTAGAACAACCGCTATGCATTACGATGTTTGCCCATTGGGTGGTTTCAAATGGAAGTTAGATCAATTTTTATGGCTTGTTTAATTGTTATGCAAGCTACCAGGTAAACTTTGGGATTGTAATTTTTTTACTTTAAAGGTCGAAGACATTTGCTTGGATCCGGCTTTTTTACTTGTGTATATTTTACTTGCTGGTCGTTCCCGTCGAGCTGCTCAAGGTAAAGAATTATTTCCGAAATTGCTTGTTTTGTCGTTATTACATGATGCAATATTTATTCGATTTCCTTCTTCGAAAAATAATTCATTATATTTAGGATGTGCCGGTTGATGGCAAAATATCCAAATCGTATTTAATGAAATTGAATTGAACGGAGTCAAAAACCAACAATTGCACCAATAGACTGACGATAGTGCTTGGACTCTCGTTGAACGAAAACACTTCAATTTTGCTCTTCAATGCATTCCAATGTCGAATTTATATAAACATGCAAATTATGTATATTAACGGAATAGCTGAACGAATTAAATGATTCGCGAAAGGATATAATAAATAAAGCGGTGATGGTACATTTTAAATTTGGTAGTTCCTGCTTGGTAGATTAACTGACATGATATGTGATCCTAATACATAATCTTGAAACCACATATGGCTTTCGTACGTCAGTGGCTTTTTAATGCACAGAACGTTTAATCATGTTCTCATTGTTGGAAAGCTTGCTCAGCAGTTTACGTGCAGTTCATCATTCAGTATTGTGCTAAAATATGCTTTGCAAGTAATTTAAATTTCGTTCTAATTAGGTGCCGTTCATTACAAGACTTTGTCATCTTCCTGAAACATTCGTGTTAAAATGGCCCTTGTTAAAAAAGTGTATTTTGAATTTCGACAAGCCATTTATTTCCTTGTGAGTATAATCAATTGGCAATACTTTAAATGCGCCAGCAAATTCAATAGTTTTGCTTAGAAAACTCTTGCAGTATCAAGTTCACCGATAAATAACAAAGTGGCTATTTGTTCCGAACCTATCGTCACTGCAGTGCAGTGTTGATACGCAGTTGTTAATGGTCTTAAACAATTAAGTTTAATTAATAAGCTCTAGTTCAGAGCTTGTTATGAATGAACTGACTTTTGCATATATGTATGTACTTTGGATTATCAATTACAATGTACAAAACCGATTTAAATTATTTAACGACTTTTTCAATCTGGTGTAATTATTGTAAAAGGCAATCCTAAAATTGTAATCTGAAAAATATGTCAAACCCGTTAAGATCTCATTAACTTCCAAAATGTTAAAAACTTTCACCATTATTTAACTTAAAGCGCGCCTTCTTGGTATGTAAATTAAAGAATGCAGAAACCATTAAATTACCTTCTTGTTTAATAACTATGATAAACACGACAAAAAAGGCAACTATTGGGCTGATTACACCATCAAATGATTTTACATATTCAACTTTATCTGTTTATGCAGTGGACGTATGGGCATTACGGATTTATCAAAGGAAGAGAAAGGTACCGTTTTATAGCTAGGTATAACGCGTTATTCAGACGCATACTAGCCGTCTTCTGGCACCAAATTTTTTAAAGTACTTTGGTATGTGAGCGCATCAAAACTAACTGTTATTACCCAGCTGAGAAAAATTGAAATGAGTTCCGATTATGTTAACTAAAAATAGGACAACGATTAAGTTTACATTGTCGATACCTTATACCTCCGATTTATTTCCGATCGCATTAAACGGTAGCGCAACATTTTCCTTCGTTTATTTATGATTGCATATAAAGTTCAATGCAATGATGAATCGCTAGCAGTAACACATTTAGCCCAGTTTCTCAGGTTACTGCTCTACATATGGCCAGATCGGCATTGAACATAAATAACTTATATAAATACAAATTTATGAATTTTATGGCACATAATTTTTGAGTCTTAAAGCCGCTAAGTACGTATTGTACTTTTTTATTTTGGTAATATGTAATAAGCTTGCTAAGGATTGCCTTTATTTTTAGGAGCTCCTAAAATCAATAAATGAAGTTCCCAAAGACACCACAAGCCGGCTAGTGGAAAACAAATTTCCTTATGATGTGGAGATTCGAAGAAAACCCGATATTCACATCAACAGATTATCCAAAACTACCGATTTTGATGTCGGTAGACGAAAACCAATCAGGTACTTATATCATTTTATAATTATAGGCCATAAACAATCTTACTCTAATAAAGAAAAATACGCACATCTGAATTGAAAAATTGAATGCATTAAGTTTTGCACGATTTTCCTTGATTTCGTATGTTCTTTTAGCAAAGTCAATCCAAAAAATTTTGAAATACGAGGCCTAATGAAGATCCAGGCTTCATTCAATGTGAAGTCCGACCTAATTAAGTGCAAAGAGGAATACATAGCGTATGAAAACGAAAATTTCTACCGGATTAACGAAAGAAACAAAAACCGGGTAAGAATATAAAATACACATTAAAGCTTCGGCACAAATAACCTATTTAAAACACGGAACTATTGACCAACATTTAATTTGAATCTAAATTGTCTTAAATCTGTTATCTGAACTATCACGAACAAGTTTGTGATAGTGTAAACGAATTATTCTCTTAACTGTAGATCATGGTGAAAATTTTGTTGCCTAGATTGGCCTACTGATTAATAAGGCAACATTATCATATAAATTTAAAGTTGTTTATTTTCTCCATAGGAACTGTTATATCCTGATGTGCTGTTAAAATCTGTGAGATATTTAAAATCAAAAGAGGTCGAGTTAAAGAGTACCACCAACGATACCTTCATATTGCACTTCCAAGAGCCGAAGCACGTCAAAATATTTATGGATAATGACAAAATTCAAGTCTATAATATTATAGACAATAAAGTGACGATCAAGAAGACTCTTCTTAGATTTTTAGGTATTTATCAACAATGATCAGTTGGGCGGGAAATTTATAATTTATATAATTGCAGGAAAGAGATCAAGTAAAGAGTTTCTGGAAAGAAAGGGTATTTACAAAGATGAGCCAATTTTCGGAAACACTTTGCGAGAAATTAAAAATCGTACCGGATATCTGGTGCCACCATTTATTACAGAAGTGATCAGACTTTTGGAGATACCAGAAAATATTCAAAGTTTAGGTAATAAACATGGACTTAATAAAATCCATGAGGGTTAAAACGTGTATAATTTGCAGGACTTTACAGGACATCTGGAAATTTAGCAATTATACAAAAAATACGCTTTGAAGTTGATAATGGCAAATTGAGCATTTTGGAGCGCTACTCTAAAGATCCAGACGTATTGACTGGAAGCATCAAATTGTTTTTCAGAGAACTAAAAGAGCCTCTTATACCTCTTGATGTTGGAGAAAAACTTTTGGATATCATAAGTAAGTGCTTGAGCCATAAAATGTGTTGTATCATTGCCAAATAATACTTTTTAGAGTTGAGTCCACAGCAATTTACATCAAAAGAGCATCAAAAAATCAAGTCTATTCTAGTCAAAAATTTAGACGAGTCAAATTTGGAAACTTTCGTCGTCATAATGGAACATCTTCTGGAAGTAGTTAAACACAAAGAGCATAACAAAATGGACACGTATAATTTAGCTGTATGTTGGGGACCATCAATATTCACTCTAACTGGAGGTAACAATCATGTATTATAATCCTCACAGCCTTTTAATTACATAAGAATCCATATTTTAGCTTCAATTAAAGATGCCATAGAACAATCAAAAGACATAGTGTCTCTCAGCCACAACGCCATGTCTTTGGTTAGCTTTTTCCTTGTGTATTACGACATGTATCCAGTTGAGTTAATTACTCTTCGAACAAGAGTACGAACTGTAAGTATAAGGCTATAAAACCGCTGCGAAATATGCGTTACATTATTGTTGAAATTCCAGAATAGTAGGTCTGATAATATTCAAACTTTAAGACGACAAGCTTCCAGAGAAAGTGATTCTAGTTTAGACAGTTCCAGGAGTCAAAAGAAAAGTAAGTCCTACAAATATCATTGCAGTCTTTGAGCGCGGCATTACAATTTTTATCGGTTTTTAGGTTCGAGTAATTTGAGTTTAAGTGTGGATGAAGTGGTTAAGAGACTTGTCGACTTGATTGAACCACATGTAGCGTGTGGAGATCTTTATGTAAAGGGGGGCTCGGCCGATAAAACGAATAAAATCATGAAAAAGTTGACGAAAAAGAAAATTAATGAGCTAGAGAAACACAAGAACGACGTATACGAATTAACAGACGCTTTGAAAAAATATTTAAAAGAACAAGACTCTTTAATTAATGAACAAACTGTGGAAGCGGTTTTGAAAATTTCACCTGGTAAGTATCCTTAAACACAAAATATTTAAATCAAAAAGCAAATAGGCAATTTTGCAAATTGTTTAAGAGTCGCATTAATTACACATCCACACAACCAGTTTTTTTTGATCTGGGGTTGAGACAGTTATATCTTGTAGTATTTTGACCTGCTGAACCCAAATCCGCGGTCAGTCAATCAGGTCAGGATCAAGATGATTTCAAAGTTAAATTGAGAATTTTATTGTTATTATTTTATTGACTTCCATAGCCTCCGTACAAAATGTAGCAACTTTTGGCAAAAAATTGGTTTGTGTGGCTGTGTTACCTATGGATTAAATCCTGCTAATTCCGTTTGCATCTCTAAATAAAATCTGTTTATAATAGCATCATTTCAAAACGAATTCATACTAAACTTTACATGGCACGCTGCTCCTACTGATTATAATATTAATGATTTTAGATACGTCACAAAACTGCTTAGAACCAACAACAAGACGAAAAGTGATATACCTAATTGAAGATACTCCGAAAAAAGACACACTAATCTTTCTCCTGCGCCATTTAGCTCGAGTTATAGAATACCAAGAAAGAAATCTTAACGTTGAGAAGGATGAACTAATAAATATTTGGAGTAATGTACTGAATAATCAAAAAAAGATCAAAATTCCAATCGAAGACTTCAATAAATTCTTGATCATTGCAATACTGGTATTCAATGATAATTTGCCAGATATTGTAAGATCTAGTTTTAACAGTAAAACCAGCAATTCGACTAGGTCCGACAGCATGGACGAGGTAAGACTAAAACATATAAAACTAGTGAGCATATTTATTATTTGAGGTAATATTTCAGTTGATGAAAGAAATGAAACATCAACAAGCCGAGAGGGACCGAAACAGCAGATATGACAATGTTGATGGCGATGCAGGTGAAGCATCTATACTAGATGAAAAGACTGAGCTAACCAAATTGTGACAACATTCAGATGTATATAAATTATATCATAAATAACTTATTACTCGCACGTTGAAAAACCCGATTGGCTTTCCTGGTACTTCGTACTAAACTATGAATTAAAAAAAAATCTTTGTCATAGTCTTCAAAGATACATTTTTGTATCATTTGTTTATATTTTTGTAAAAAAAATAGTTTGTAGACTTCTTGATGAGAGCGAATGCACATTTAAAAACTTAAGTATTTAGGTTCATAGCCAATAATATGATTTTAAACACTTAAAAAATATAAATTTTAAATTTGAACAGCAAAGAGGATTTGGTACCCTCAAATTCTTCAGTGGTAATAGGAACAAGGAATTGGTGGATTTTAGTGAATAAATAATTCATACTTGATGACCACTTCATATTTTTAAAAAATTTTATTTATTACTTTGCCTATTCATGTTTAAAGGAACCATCACTACTAAATATATTGCAAGTTGATGTTTTCTTAGTTGTTAGTGCAGGAAAATTCAAATTGATGTACATAATAAATATATGTTATTATACTCTTAATAATGTGATAATTATCTAGATCTAAGGTTTGTAAACAGTTCCAGGTAAATAAAAATAAGAAATAGTTCGGCTTTAGTTAATAAACTTCTTAACAGCAAGGTAATTTATTTGCTTTTAATTTCTGGGACAATCGTTTGCATGGTTTTGGAGGTTTTGAAATCAATAGAATTATTCTGTGAAATATACCTACCTTATTAATTTCTATGACTATAACGTCATCAATATTTGCTTATTCATTTTGCCGTAATTAATGTTTCTTTTGAATGATATTTTGAATTTTCTGCCATTCCCTGTCTAAATGAGCCTTTTCGTTCTTATCCTTATGTTTTCTTGATCTACAGTTGAAAGAAAAACATAGTTAAACAAATTGAGCGAAAAAAACCATTTTTATCATACCTTCTGCCATCAGCCATTTTCAACCCATACTGGAACGCAGCTTTCGGTAGAGCTTCTTTTTGATTCATGTAATCAGAATATTCTTCAGCCGTATCAAAGTCCCACCGTCCTATAGGACCCTTTTTATTACCTGCGCGAAAAAGTGAAAACTTATTTATGGAAGTTATTTTTAAAAGAAAAATTACCAAGATCCATTTTAGAATAATCGACTTCATCATCACTGTCATCAATAGCATCATTCATTTCTTCCAAGCCAGGATAACATTCGGCATACCCTTCAGGTTCTTGTTGAAGTTTGTTCAGAATTTCTGCCGACTTATTTACTCTGAATGATGGAGCAGCATTATCAACCGATTCCCTGTGATCTTGCTTATCAAAGTATGAAGGATTATGTTTACTGGATCTGGATTCTCTGTGAGGCTCTTTGTGTTTGTGATGACTTGTTCGTGCAGGCACATAATCCCCGATATCTCCATAAATAGAGTCATCAGTGTTATTTGACCTTTTGGCTGGTTTCTTGCTATCGTCGATTTCCTCTTCCTTCTCATAGTCTTTGGTATCATCGATGGCACGTTTGTGTTTGTTTTTCTTTCGATTACCTTGCCTTAAGTAACTCAAAATTTGAGTTAATTTATTAATCACAATATCATTGGTAGTTACAGTCGTGGTTAATTCAAAAGACGGTACATCAGCAACTGATCGCAGTAACGTTGTTGGTATGTCAGTTTCAGCATCATCATCTAGAAAAGAGGAAATATATTAAGATTTATCTGGATTTTAATCTTGATTCAGTGTAAAAAATAGTTCTGAAGATTTGCTTAAATGTGTTACCTAAATCGATTACGTAAGCCATTCTTCCGGGCACAAACATTTCCGACCTCTGAATATGCCTTGATTTTAACATTTGCACTGTGTGATATATAGATCTTCCAATCTTGGTTTTAAATTTCATTTCCTCTTCCTCCTTCTTTAACAAGTCCTTTCTCTCCTTTTCTTTTTTCTTCTCTTCAGACTCTGACGCAATTCTTTCTAATTCCTTTAATGATAAAACAAATAGGTAAGTTTTCGGCTAATAATACTGAACAAAGTATTACTTGTTCTTGTTCAAATTCTTTATGTTGGATCTCACTTCTAACTTTTTGAAGGAGGGCATAATCCAGACCCTTTACCAAGTGAGTATGCTCCATGTCACCACCCAAGAATTTAGATTCTTGAATCATTTGCCTTCTTCGTTCAGCCGCATCATATCCTGAAAACGATAATATGCATTCCAACGCTAGCTCTTTCCTTTATATTTACCAGATTTTAAATCTGGAGCCACAGCTCTGTAAGCTTGGGCTGTAGCCACCGGATCATCTACTTGATAATCAGGATTCACCCCTTTTCTTCTTTCACCAGCTCTGTCACGATACTTTTCCGCTAGTTCTGCTATTTTGTTGTCCTCCTATGTACAAATAAAAGTAGCAATTATGTGAATTATACTAGTTACAGTTAAATCTGTATAAAATTTAAGTAGCTTTATAATAAAAGCGACTAAAAAGATAGATAGAATATATACATAGTTTTGATCATTTTCGAGCGGTTTTTGCCAGTTGGTGCTGTTATTGAGAAGATAGTGTTTCTACATTTAACAGTACTTGAAGATTTATCAACCAGTTACGACTTACACTTAAATTTCACTGTAAATTTCCTTTAGTAAGTTTCAATTTTTTGCTGATTACGTGCTTGGGTTTATCGGTCAATAGGTAGACATTTAAACATTTTTTATAATGTGTGTTATTCAGTTTATGTGTCAACGTAAAATGAAACGAAATATATAAAAAATAACATCAAAATTTAGATATATCCTATGCACAAGGAGAGAAAAATGACCAGTAAGTGAACATCGCAAACCAAAAAGATACGAAGTTTGTTAACTGGCGAAAAAGTTAATTAGGAAAAAGAAAATTTTTATTTCAACAAAATCTGAATCTCTTGTTAAGCCTTTCGTAGGCTCATTGAAATAGATTGACAAATTTTAGTAACTTATTACTATAAAAATTAAATAAATAAATAGCGAATCAAATTGTGGGGCGGAAGCGTAAACTATTTAAAACTGTGTGCTTATTTAACTTAATGTTTCAGGAGTTCAATGTTTAAATGGGGTACATAATATTAGACTTTTTCTCTTAATTTTTTTATAATTTTTCACTTGTATTTGAGATTATTTTTGCTTCATCTTTGATGAGAAAAATAATGTTTTATAAATGTAACGAATTTATTATTACTATTAATATATTTTATGTCGGTGTATGCCAAAGCTGAACAAAACCCAACTACCTACATTTTCTCACAGCAACTGCAAGCGCGTCCATTACCACATTATCGGTTTTTCCTATTAGAAGAGCAACAATTGTGTTCTAACAATTATTTACACTATTAATTTATACTTTTTTATTAACTTTGTACATTAAATTCAGCTAGGTTTACTCAGAAACATCTGTTTCTGAATGTTATTAGTTGTTGAATGTGTTAATTTGTCTTGAACCAAAAAATGTTTACTTTCTTGAAAAATAATTCTTACAAATTACGCTTGGTCAATCCTGGTAAGTTACCTGTTTCTTTAACTTGGCATAGAAACTTTTACGTTTCTTTCTAGCTTCATTTTTGTCTTCAATTTTGGGGGGTGGCATGCTAGCACTGTTCTGCATTGCCTCTTTGATGGAGCCTGGCGCAGCAGGGGCATTTGCAGGAGTTGATCGTGGGGTCATAAGAAGTTTGCGAAAATCATCGTTGGTCAGCCGCTGAGAGCCTGGGGTCTGTTCTACTGTTTGAGGCATGCTGGAGGCCTAAACTGCCGATTTACGGAGCCAAGACTTAGGTTAACGCAGTCGATCGAAATATGCAGATTTGTGCCCTTAATGCAATTCGCTGGCTGCCCAATTCACCGGAAACACTAATCACAGAGTAGATAATCACACTGAGCATAAATTTCTCTGTTTTCTGTAACTTTCAGTGTTTATAACTATAGTAACTCACAGCTGATTATTGTTGACAATGACAATTATTACATTTGTCATCAGATGCCATGATCCGCGCTTATTCCAAAATTTACTACCGTTTGCTCACTTTAACATATGAAATTAAAATGAAACAAACATCCCACAGCACTTCCAGCACGACAGCTCAAATTTCCGTGCCATGGCAACGCCGTCGCAATGTCTCATAATAGGTATCCAAGCCGAGATCCAAGAGAAGAATCAGAAAATGATAGATTGACGTTTTCAGGTTATGTAGGGCTCAAAAATCCAAAAAAGTATTTTATATTAAAGTACAAAATAAAATGGCCAAGTACATAGCTCAATTAATAATAGCAGGAACCCAAGTAGTTGGCAGAGCATTCGCCAGAGCGTTAAAACAAGAAATCGAAGCCTCTCAACAAGCGGCACAACGGTTAGGCAATGCGAAAACGCGAACTGAAAGGGTTGCAAACCAAAAACTGGGACTGACGCTGGACGAAGCCAAGCAAATTTTGAATATTTCCAAGTTATCGAAAGAGGATATTGATGAAAAGTGAGTTGGTTGCATAACGAATCACCTATCAGTTTCAATTGCCTAGTTCTTTTCAGAACAGCTTTGCATGCTTCTTGAATTGAAGTCATGTTAAAAACCAAGTTTATAATATCAGCGATTTCTCAAATTGAATAAAAAATTCCTGAAGAACATCATAAGCCTAATTGAATATTGTTTTATTGACACAATTAATTTATTACAAATACTTTACTATTTTTTTAGGTTTGATAGTCTCTTTAAAGCAAATGCCAATACGTCTCTATATATACAATCAAAAATAGTAAGGGCGAAAGAAAGATTAGACCACGAGATCAATAACCCAGAGCCAAAAAAGGAACGGATAAAAGAAGACGTAGGATCGAGTAGAAACACGTAGCATTATTACAAATTTAGTAGCAAATGTGGTTACTTGAATGCTATGATTGTATATTAAGTAGATAAGATTAATTTTATTGTTACATAAAATATTCCGAATAAAAACGATACTGCTAAGTGCTATTGTTTAGCAAGAAACATCTGTTTATTAATGAACGTAATGTACGCCAAAAAATAAATAGTTAACACCATAGAGAAAGCAAAATTATTCTACTTACTCTATGGTTAACACATTTTGTTTTTTAGAAAAAATGCAGTAGTTTATACACATTAAATTACTACTAGCGTATGTATATATGTCTTTGACAATCGACTATTATACGAAAACATTCACGACATTGGTAACAGTTTGTTGCTATAATTCTCTATTTGAAATTAGTCTGATTTCACTGTCTGATAATAGACGTTTGCTCTTGCACAGCAGTCGTTTTATGTGTACCATCACAGAAAGGCCTAGAACGCGTTTGTTTACAGTTGCACAACCAGTATGTCTTTGTTTCTTCAACAGAAAACCGAATAGGCCTAAAATTAAAAAAAAAATACAAACTAAATACCTTTATAGTTAAATACTTTAAGCAATTATAAATTGAACGTTTATATTAAAGTATAATCAAAACTATTCTGAAACAGACCAAAAACAAAGCGCCGTTTTCATTAGATTCCCGACTACATAAAGATTAATTACGATCTACTTTTGGAAACATACGATATCAAAGAAAATAATTGAACGTTTGAATATCCAGCCATTTCCAATCGAATGGTCTTTCTCCGCGCCGCGATCACGCAAAAGTAAAAGATTGAAGACAAAGATGTGAGGCTGAAGGAATTGGGAGCCCATCTTAAATATTTTAATTAGGAGTCTTGTATTAGGGCCTTGAATTTGAAATGCTCTAAGGATTATTGAGGTATTTTTAATCCTTTTTGGAATTTAAAATTTTAACAACACAGACGTTCTATGAAAAAAGTCTATTATTTCTCGTTAGGCATACCAAAACCTTTCTTATGAGTAATGGGATATTTTTGTCAGTGTACGAAACAAACTGTTTTAAACAATCTTAATTAGTAAAAACGAAATGAAGACTTGATACTCCCATAATTCGATTTATATTGGTTTGTTTTATTAACGATATATGGGAAATATTGAGATATAATATTGATACCATACCAGAAGACAACTAGAAAACAGAAACAGTGAAATATGAAACGAAAACAATGTTATATTTAATATTAGAGCAGATGCAGATGGTGGAATTGAAGCACAAGACATATCAATCATAAGGCAAAATGAATAGGGCTTTACTGAAATAGGCCTTTATCTACCAGAAATTAGAGATGAGTGACCAATGATTAATTTGAGTAATGAGCACCTTTTACATTCAAATATAATACCGGATGAATCTGTGGAAAATTAATAATAAAAATACATAAATTCCTAGTCGCTTTATGCAGTTTGGTTGGATAAAACAGCTTCAAAGGTGAATGTAAAATTGTATTTAAACAACATTGTAGAAAGTGCAGGTGAATATGTGCAATAACTCACGTAAGATGGATATTTTAGGTAGATATTGTACAATATTTTACGTCCTAAAATTTACATAGCACTTGTTGATAATGGCCATTTGAAAAGAAATCTTATTCTATTAGACAAAAAAGAAGCAGTCAATGTACTTACTTTTGAGTAATTTTCAACTCTTGCATTCTGTGCGTTCCGTCGCAAAATGGTTGATTATGGCTGCGACCACACAAACACCATGAGTACTGTTTTCCTTGAATGAAATAAGAAACATCAACAACAAAACATAAATAATAAAATGCGGTGTTTTTTATGTTACTGAGTAAGCATTTTAGTGTTTCTCCACTGATTTTAAAAGAGCGCCTTGAAATAAAGTTAGAGTTTCCCATACGGTAACAAATTTCTCCATTAAAAAATCTTCTTTGATTGCAAATTTAAGTATTATTTTCTACTCTATAAAATGCCATTGACTTTGCAATGTATCAGTCATGTTTACGAAAAGAAAAAATATTTCATAAACTCCTAATAATGAGGAGCGTTATAGTGAAAGCATTTGAGCTAGTAGTTACTAAGCATTTATTCAGAACAAAACAACTTTCGGATGCAATTAAAGAATATCCACTTAGGTTTTGCTGCAAACAAATCACAAGAGCATTTCCAAGCATGTTTGATACTTGGAAAGCCTTCTAGAAAGGATCTAGCCTTATTAGGCCAAAATGGCTAGTTGGAAAAACTATGAATGAATGTTTAGGAAATTTGAAGTGAAGTGAGAGTTTAATCCGTATTCGAAGTTTGAGAAATATGTAGTTAGTAGAAATATGTAGTAGTTAGTTATTTTGAAAAATTCAAAATAGGTAAAATAACTGTCTGTAGTTGCTTAATTATCCATGGTAGGGTTTCTTAAACTTTTTATATTGACGACGCTATTAATTGTGTACCTAAATGTTTTATATTAAATTCGTGCAACCTCAGAATTTTGCTGAGCGACCCCATTTGGAGTCGTGACCGATGTTTAAGAAACCCTTATGTATATTCTCAAAAAGTTTTAATTCCAAATGCTTTAGGTACGTGCTATCTTACACATTTTTGAAGTATTATCTCAAGTGCGGTTAAATAAAGACCCAGTTTGTTTTTTTCAGAGGAAACACTACAAAGTGGTAACTGCTTCGTCTTACTTACCTGCCACTAGAGTGAGTTGCATTGGTTTCTTATCATAAACAACACCATTTTGTATTTGCTTATGGGCAGATATAAATGGCTCTTTTGTATTTTTCGGAATCAGCGAACTTGCATTTGAGCTGAAAGTCTAGTAAATATAATGTAGATATAAATGTACATATTAAGCCATGCCAAATATGATATGCTTGAAACGGAAAGAAGGTTAACAAATTATAGCTATCAAAAACAAAAATATAGAAGAAGAAAGAGATAAAGACAAAATAATAGAAATAACTGCGACGTATATGACATAAAAGTGGTAAAACCAGAGGAAATTATGAAGGGTTAATTATAAAACCAGAAGGGTTGCAAACGTAAGTGCAGAGGATATGGAAGAAATAGATCACGAAGAGGAAATCTACGCCGTAAGTTTTTAAAAAGGAGACAGCATACAGACATCTGTATCAACTTTTCATGAGGATAATAAAAAAAACTGGATCACTATCAATCTCCAGAGCAAGCAGTGTTCCGCAAGGGTCTCAGCACAACAGATCATCTTCTAACACTAAAGATCCTAATCGAGAAAGTAGCCGAATACAACCTACTCTTATTCATAGCCTACATAGATTACGAAAAGGCCTTTGATAGCATAGAACACTGGGCATGTCATGAAATAATGTATGGAGATAGTAGATACAGGGATCTCTACGATCTAAAACATCTACGAAAAAGCAGCAGCTACAATGAGAATACACGAGGATACCGAACCAATCCCAATAAAGAGAGGCATGCGTCAAGGAGACCCAAAGCTCTTTACGCTGGGGCTATAAGACGTGTTCAAACAACTTGAATGGGCAATGAATACCTCTAGTATCAACATCAATGGAGAAAGGCTATATCACCTGAGGTTTGCTGATGATGTGGTGATAAAAGCGGACAATAAAGAACATCTTTACAGAATGTTACAAGAATTGCGAGAGAAATAAAAAAAATGTGGGATTAAAAATGAACATGCAGAAAATAAAAATCATGAGCTCAGCCGAAGAGACGATCATAAGTATAGATAATAATCAATGGGAAAACGTCAAGGAGTACCTTGGACAACAAATATAATTAGGAAAATATGCCGAAATAGAACGAAGAAGGCGTCTAAGCCGGGCAACTTTCGGCAAACTCTCAAGAATACTAAAAAATAAAAAAATCCCTCAACGAATACGCACAAAAGTGTTCGACCAGTGTATATTGCCAGTATTAACAAATGGAGCGTAGACGTGGACCTTTACAAAAAATACAATACGAAAATTAAAAACAACACAAAGAGGTATGGAAAGAACAATGATGGGTATTTCTTTAAGATAGGAAGGAACGGATACATAAAACAACATACACAGGTGAAGGATTTAATAGAAAATGCAACCCAGATCGAATGGAACTTTGCGGGACGTGTAGGAGAGACGACCAGAGAAGACAAGGGCTTGGAGGAAGAGGTAGACGGGTAGGATACAAGATATAGGATAGGATAGGCTACAAGATGGTAATAATCGCGAGAGATGGAAGTCGTCAAAGGAGACGTATATTCAAGTATAGAGGCAAGAGGGTTGAAAAAAAAATTAAGTCATGATGTAAATATTGTAATAAATACCTTGTTTGCCGAACGAAACAGACAAATCCTTCTGCTTAGCCAACTCGCTGTGATGTTTAGCACCATTGTGGTTCGAGGGATAATAAATATGCAGTATAAACTTTTGTAATTACAAGTAAGTTTTTCTTTAAAAAAAACCAAAAGAAAGGTTATGTACGATCACAGCATCTCTCCCACAGATCACAGAGGTTACTCTGTAATCTGTGCTTTAACCTTAACCTCTAATAGTTTGATCAAGTTTAATAATCTGTGTCTCTAACACAGAACTCCTACTCTATTTGCAGCGCTCTTGCGGCCTGAGCGACCAACTTTCAATTTGGCGCCATATTCAATTTTCTCTTAGACTTTTTACGGTTATAGGATAAAAAATACAGACAAAGCAATTGCATGATACGTATTAGTATTTTTACACTGAAATTATAAATACTCTACTAATTATAAAAAACGCTCTATTTTGTATAGTTTAACTTAAAAATACTGATGATCTGGATGTATTTTACGCGAAAAATTACAAGACATATTTTTTCCCTAACGTTTTACTGTAAAATACTGGCAAACTGAGAGTATTTTATGCAAAAAAGTTAAAAGATGGATTTACAAGAAAAGTCGTCTTTGCAGTTCGGTCTTCTTTATCGTCTTTTTCGAATACCCATTTTACCTGTGAATTTGGGACAAAATCGAAACAAATTTATCTTGTTTTTTTTTCGACAAAAATTAGGTTTTCTTAAAAAACGATTAGAGAAATCAAAAGCATATAATCAATATTTGGAAAACTCGTCATCCTCATCGCTCTGAAAATTGTTTAAGTTTCATCAAAATTTCCGGATTTTTCCGTTTTAAACCAAATAGTTTGAAGCAATCGTATACGAAAAAGCAATATGTCGATGGCTTTTTTTTGTTAGATGCTAAAATTCCGTAATCGTCCATGATTTATAACTCATTAACCAATGAGTTAAAACTCATTGACTCAGAGAGCGGCAACATCACAAAAGCGCTACTCAACACAGTGTTACGCAGGCCTAGATACGAGTACGAACTGACAGATCTCCAACCAATAGAAACACTTTCGTATCATCGTATCATCGTACAAACGGATACATGGGACACGAGCTTTACGCGGGTTTACCACCGCAAGTCTGATTATAATTTTCGTCTGAACGATCTACAGCCTGAAGAGCACTGAATGGCAAAAACTGGAATAGTCCGACCGGCCATTACGAATCGTTTGGCAAAAAAGTTGCAGCCTTTTAGGTCGCAAGCTTTTTGATCTGCATTCTGTAATCTAATTTTACCTTCGAATACAGCAAAAAATTAATTTACTTCAGAAAAGCACTAATATTGATTCTATACTTCGAAAAGGTGTCGAAACGCGCCAGGTGCTAACACGAAACACTTTCGACAAAGTGGTAAAACGCATATGTCTACATTTTAAGAAAATCGATATTTTAGCGGCGTCTTTTGTAGAAAATGTTTCTTTACCCGTCAAATAAGTTTCAGTAACTCCAGGGAATTCTGTAATAGTTTCGCTAATGAAAAAGAAGCAGGGTAAGAAGCAAACCAAGATGCAGATTTTACAACAATAGGAAAAAAGACAATTTCAAATTACGAAAACCGGAGTGAAAAAAAAAATGAAACGTGAGAAGGGAGAAATCGAAATATTTCGAAAAAACAAGATCGATAACCAATGTTTTAATAATATAGAAAAAGAAGCAGCAAATTAAATTCCTACCCGTAGATTAGGTAGCAATAAGAAGGTGCAATCCTTGTTTGATAATAAATATCTTCCAGTGTGTATAAAATCAAAGTGAGCTATGCAATTGTAAACTGAAAAATTAAGAGATATATTTTGCATTAAGTACCTAAGGGCTTCGTTTTTAATTTTGCTTCTTAAGAAAGGGATGGAGAAAAATGAAAAAAACCACATCAATATTCTTTTAAGATAATTTATTCATCAAATTTTAGCCTGTTGCATCTGAAGTATCTGTATAGTGTTTACAAGCATTCGATAGAACTGTCTGTAAAAATTTAAACTGTCTTTATGACATCTTGCAAAACCCAAAATGACCAGTCGTTCTATTTTACAAGTTTTTGAGAATTATCAAAAATCTAGACTAGCTTTCGCTCAAACCATAAGCGATTTAGCTACTAGACCTCAAAATGTTGACCTTATGAAAGGAGCTCATGTTTTAGGTAAGTAAATTAATACGCAAACATTCAATTCTTGTTGTTCAAGTTTGTCTGTTTCAAAAAGTTGCATTTTAGATCTACTCAAACCATTAATTATGGATGTTTGTCCCCAAATAAAGCAGTGCGCTTCAATAGCCCTTGGAAGACTTGTTCATAATGATCCCGCTATAGCTGAAGAGTTGCTTGATGTTGGTATATTGAGCATATTATTGCACAATGCGGGAACCGGCAATGTAAGTAATTTTATCAGATATCATCTAGCTTAAATTTGCAAATGCTTTTTTATCATTTCAAAATATTTTTGCATACCAAACCCGCAGAAAGCAACGCAACAATCTTTTAAATCTTCCTTCTATATTTGTCATCTTTTTTGGATATTTTATATTCCTTAATATAATTTTATGTACATTATATGAATTGAATTCAAATATCTTAATTGAAAAGGTAGAACCAAGAGGGAGAAAATGGTAAGTTTAAGAGCTGGAAAAATTCGCGTTTCAAATCGAAATCTTTTCTCATCCGTGTATCTAGTTTAACAAATTCTTAATAAATATTTAACTATAAAACCAAAAGAATTTTTGCTTCCAAAAGTAGTGTAAAACTTGTACCTTATTGATATTATTTAAGAATATTATGAAACTCAAATAAAGCAGAAATTTGTTCTGCTCAAAGAAGTAGTAAAATATGATCTGAATGAATGAATATTGATCAAAATCTTCAACGTTTTATCCTTTTAATGATTTTGGTAGTTTTATTTTTGTCGTGGGTTGTTTTTCTGTTTCCTGCTTCAAAGGCAACAAGTCGAAAGCAGTAGAATTTTTATAAAACACTCTGCTCAAGTCTGAAATCTTGAAATTAGGCCTTTCTTTTTGAATAATTGAACAATTTTCATTTATTTCATTTCATTAATGGTTGCTTTAAAAAAAGCTGTAAGAAATCTAGCTAAAAACGTAAAAAGGACATGACTGTAACTAACCGAAAAACGGGAAATAAATCTGAATTTTGCTCGGGTGCAATAGGAATCAAGTGTACCTACTTGAATCCTTTTGCCTCCAAGACTAAATATTCTTTAACAAGTTTTTTTGCGCACGTATAGATGGTCCTGGATAATCTAAAATCTATCATCAATTTACCACATAGAAAATTCCAATTTCATATTTCCCATTTTGCAGTTGTTGTTCTGTTGTCAATTTTTTTTAAATATTAAAGGAAATCAGATTTGTATACTGTTTTGCACCAGAAAGAGAGAGATACGCCAGTAGGCTTCATCTTTGTTATCTTCAAACATTCTATTACAGTTTTTAATAGAGCTAATGAAAATTAAATCATGTAACAAACATGTAACACTCAATTTTAAAAACGGAGATCAAATTGACTTTTTGAAACTAACGCAGTTCTGAAGATTAAATGATTTTACATTTTTTTCAGAAGTATCAGAAAACCGCAGTTTTGTTCGTCCTGAGATCAATTTGCAAACACAACGAAAAAACAGCCCAGTCGGTTGTTAAAAATGGGGGACTTCAGACATTGGTTTACTGCCTTGAAGACTTTGAGCCAGCAGTGCGTTTATTTACTTACATTTATATTTCACAAAAGAGCCAAACTATAATTTTTCTTAAGTTTAGTTTGTACTTTTCTTCCTAAGGTCAAAGAGTCGGCAGCCTGGGGCATTGGTTACATTGCGCGACATAGTCAGAAATTAGCCCAAGAATGTGTTAATGCTGGCGTTCTTCCACTTTTGATGCTAACTCTTCAGGAACCAGAGCTGAGCCTAAAGCAAATTGCCACGAGCGCTGTAACTGACATAGCTAAGCATTGCGAGGATTTAGCAGTATGTGTTGTTGATGCGGGCATTGTACCGTACTTAGCAAAAAATTTGCAAAACAGTGACGAGAAGCTCAAAAGACAATGCTTAGCAGCTTTGAGTAAGTGCTCTGTGATTTGCTGTTTACCTTCTGCAGCTGGCATGTACTTTCTGTTCTCAGGTGCGATCGCTAAGCATTCTCCAGAGCTGGCCGAGGTTGTGGTAGAAGCGGAAATATTCCCATCAGTGTCCCAACATCTTTCACATGCTTGTCCAGCTATAAGACGAAATGCTGCTTGCCTCATTCGAGATATTGCTAAGCAATCACTAGAGCTGACTCAGTTTGTTGCCAACACAGGAGGAATTGGTAAGCGTCGCATGACAAAATTATGAAAAGGGTCATTGAACATATTTTGTCATAATTTGTGAATGTATGACACACATCTACTTTAACGAAATGCTTTAGTTTAACTAGTGGTTTAATGTCTAGTTGTTTAAAAATTAAAGTTTATTAATTAGGTACTTTCATTAGTTAGTTACTTATTAGTTAGTACATAGCATCTGAAATGAGCGGAAATATTTAGAAGAAAAAAATTGATTTTAATTTTTTTTTGAACCAACCAATTTCTTTAGCCCATATAATTGATAGAATTTTTAAATTAACTGAAAGAGGTAACAGACACAGACGATTTAGATTTTTTATTATTAAAAAAGGCCCCACAATAATATCTTGAAAATACTATTTGTCTTAAAAAGTATGATAATAACCTGTTGAAATGGCAATAACTTACAAATATGTATATTATTGATGGTTGCACGGGCTTTTTGGTACTTTTTTGATTATTTCATTTTCTAGCTTGATGGTTTATAACTCTCTCTTTCCTTACAGTCCCTGATTTCAACATAATGAGTTCAAAATGCGAAAGCTACATTGAACTAAACAATTAATTGAAAAATTTCATTCTCCTACTTAGTTAATTATTTACTTCTTTTACGAGATCAAGAGGATTTCTATTTTTTATAATAATTATTATAATACCAGATAAATATTTAGATAAAAAATTAATTTATGTTTGTTATTTCAATCTGTTCCAGGATCTTTGTTGGAGGTGCTATTTCAATATCCGGTTAAACAACCCGATCCAGTAAATGATGCACGAATTCCGTGCGTCAGTGCCTTGGGCTTCATTGCAGGTAATATTTCAACCCTTTTTAAATAAAATATTTAACAGTAATGAAAAACCGTGCGGGTAGTTTGCTTTTTAATTACTCCTAATTATGAAAAATTTATTTCCAAATGTTTTAGATTTCTTGGAAATTAAAGCCATTTTTTCAGAAAAACGTACATTATAAGCAACAGACAGGCTGTCGCGAAATGAATGTAAAATAATAAAAAAAGACAATTTTTTTTTCTGTATTTTGGACCCAAACTGTGTTTTTTTTGTTTAGAACAAAAGTGGGCTTTAGTTCATAAATGACAAACAGGGCGTTCTGCTATGAAGACATATTTTCCCCGTTCTTAGCTTACAATTTAAACAAGTAAAATTTGTTTCCCTTTTCAAATTACGGCTTAACTAATAAGAACCCTTAGTCGAAACAAACGTTAGTAGGTAATTACTGACGAAATCGCAATAAATCATACGATTGAAAAAACACATTTTGACCAAAATAAATGTAATGATTATTGAATTAATTTAAAAATTTAAAAATAGTCACCAAGTGTTGCGGCACATAACGATAAAAAAATTTTACTCACATCTAAGTTAAACATGTTAATGCAAACATTTTGAGGCTGCTTTTGGAAAGAGCATTACATTTCATTAATTGGCATTTACTGTTATTTCATGCCAAAACCAACCCTAACAAGCCGTTACGTTTAAAAAAACTGTATTCTAATTATTTAAGAAAATACTGCATACTTGAAAGTGCTGGCGGAACAGTTTTGTGCTCACCAACCTATAGCTTTATTGTAAATTCAGAATATTTGTATGAACCGCCTTTAGCCCTCAAATTCCTGTCTAAACAAACTTTGTTACAAAAGTTTATTGCTTTACTTGCTCTCTTTCAGACTGCTTCGAACGATTCAAAAAAATGAGGCAAAATTAAAATTCCCTGGAACCCTCAGTTTCATGTTGTTGAAAAATTGCTTTTTTATTCTTTAACGATTTCATGTCTGGCAGCTATTAGATTTCACGCTTGAAATTATTATTACCATAAATATCCCTGCTGAACCGAATGGATAACGAAACTAATGAGCTCGACAAAGTGTTTATGAAATGTTGTAATTTATATTCATTTTTTTACAAACTTGTTGAAATGTTTTTCAAACATTAATTAATTTGAGAAAAATATTACGTTGTTGCATTAATCTTTTATTGACAACAATTTTAGGGCAATCAGCTCAGCTAGCGATGACGGTGTTGGGATGTCGCACAATTCAAGTTTTAGCTGTAATGTTGAATGATTCAACTGACGAAAATCTTTTAACTGTTACTGCCTGGACCATAGGACAAATTGGACGACACAGTCCTGAACATTCTGCAGCTGTGGCAAGCGCTAACATTTTCCCAAGGTGAATTATTAACTATTTCCACTGCGTCTTTTATAGGAACTAGCTATTTTTACCTGTAGGTCAGATAAAAAGACGAGAGTGTTTTAAGAACAATTGTTCAGAACCATTAATAACTTAATTATCTTTTTTCTAACCGATAAGAGAAAATTAATCTTTAAATGTTTTAATTTTTAACAATCAACCCCAAAAAAAGGTTTTAGGATGATTTTTCAAAAATTCAAAAACATAAAGAAATTGCTTTAGTTTTTTTGCCTTTTCTTTTCATCCTATAATAAAACTTTTTTGAACTGTTTATGAAAGTAAAGATTTTCCACACACTACAAGATAATTAACATTAATGTTTAAAAACTTATCTTTTCAGATTGGTGCAAATTTTCCAAAACCCAGAATCATCATTAGATCTTAAAACCAAATGCCATGGTGCTCTGAAATTATGTCTGCAAAATTGCTTGCTCGTATCAGCTTTGGAACCGTTGCTGTCTCTGGCACCACCTGATATCTTGAAATATGTGTTGGGACAATACAGCAAGGTAAGTGTTTTAATTCAATTACCCAAATTGTCAACTTAATTATTTATGAGGCGATTTACCGGCCTCTCGGGAAAGTGATTCTAGATTTTCTCATTATATAAAACTACATACTGGCATAATCGTCTAGCCAAGCATTCCATTTTGATTGGCCTTTGTTTGCTCGACCGTATTTCGCTCCTGACTAATTACGTTTAACTAATTAAGAGCTCGACTCATTCGAGTAATTACACCACGTGGGCAAGCGGGTAATAAATATATTTTAACAGAATTAATTTTCTAAAAATGAAATTGCCGTTACGTAATCGAATACATTCAATATTATGTTGACTGATGGATTAAAGGTGTTCGAACTCGTTCATAAAACAAACCATTGGAAAGCAATTAGATAATGCAATGCGATCAATTCACTGATATATCGTTTATAATATAATTCAATTTTGATGTTAATCACGTGCCAATATAATTTTTGAATTACATTTTTCTGGATTGGAATGCTTATGTCTACTGATTTTGGAGGCTCTACAAACTGCTTTGTAATCTGAGATCTTTCTTCTGAGATCCATCGAAATATGTCTACACGTGTAGAGCACAATTTTATATTGCTAATATTTCTTCTTCCTTTCGAAGCAATAATAAACCGTTCCTAATAATTTAGGAAATAAATAATAATAATAGTTTCATAAACATGCCTGTTAGGTACGGCCTTTTGCTTAGTTATTTTTCAATTAAACGTTTTTGTGTGGCCCAATATCGTTATATCGATATTATGATCGACATTTGTGAAATTAATTGGTTTTAAGAAAAAACATTTACTTTTGTTTCTCGTGGAGAATTCAACCGTTTTAAAAATATTTCCAATCTGCGTAATTAAGCAATTAGTCCTTAACTTTATTAGTTACTAAGCAGAATGTTATTTGTGTCAGTGACATCAATATATTTTCCTGTTTGTCCTTTATTAAATATGGACTGATACGAAATAAAATATTTTTTGATTCCCAGTGCTCTGAGCTCCGGATTAAGTTTTTGCAGGGGTGGTCTTATTTAGGGTAGAGCTTCCTTCATAACTAGATATTTCCCAAAAAAAACTCAAATTACGACATCGTCTAAAGATCTGCAAAACTAGCAGTCCAAAAGATTACGATTTTTCGTAAGTCGAAAGTCAAAATCCATTTCGGTTTACAATTACGTATTGATTTAAGATTAAAATTATTTTAAAATTAATGTATTGAATCCCTATTTCCAATAGAATATGGCTGATTAAATGGAAATATATGCATAACTTATTTAAATTAAATAACTAGTCTAGTAAATGGTTTTGACGGCATTTGATAAAAATAGCTTCATAGAAAAATGAGTAACACATTTCCTAGACATATTCTTAAAAAATCTACTTAGGAACTTTTTACGCAATTTCAATTAAATTTGCAATTTAAATTAAAAACTCACAGAATACATTTTAGATTGGGCTGTATTTTAGCATGAATTTCACTGACCGTATTTCCGAACCGGCAACAATTGACTAAGGTATATTTGCTTGCATATACTATTATTTTGACCTAAAAATTTGCAATTTTCTATGCGATTCGCTTTGTAAAAAGTCCTTTTCAATAATGGTGAACGATTTTATACAAGCAATGTTTTTAAAACATTCTTTTAAGTCGTGTGAGCTTTCAGACTTTATGGCCACTAATTCCTGATTTTCTTGAATGCTCGTCGTACTCGAAGAAAATTACATTTACTTTTCTAATATCCTAGCAAAGCCATTAATCGCTTTAGCAATAGACAGAAACACACTCAAACCCTGTAAGTATAAAATATTTACTTTACTTAACGGTTTCCCGAGCTATTTTCCATTATATTCTCGTTTATAACGGAAATGAACAGTCGATCAGAAAAATTGAGTTGCAATCGATAGAACTAAAAGTATGAACATTCGGACGTGGCATGTACGTAATGGTAAATCGTATTATTATAGTACGGAACACAGGGGTATTTTTATAAAACCTTGAAAATGTTTTGAAACTTGATGCACCTAAAGATAAATATTTAATTTTGATTCGCAATACGTTTAATAAACAACGTTGAAAAGTTTTGAGACGAAGATTTATTGATTTGTTACTTACATTCTTCGGCTCGTATGTAAACTGTTGATAACTTACGTTAGTTCCATATAGTGTGGACTTATTTCCACTCTAATCATTTTAGAGCATTTCCAATAACCTACATCTCTTTATTAACAAATGATTCACATTAATATAGGAATGCAAACAGCATGTAGAAAATTTTTTAAAAATAATCCTTGATGTAACACCATATTGTTATAAATGTGGCCCAATAAATGCAGTTTTGCAACTTTTATACAGCGTGTCCCGTACGTACATGATCAAGCACTGCGTCATTTTTGGATCAAAAGAAGACAATCTGACCTAACTTTAAAAAAAATGTACGGTTCCTCTGATATAAATTCGCTGAGAATTTATTCATATGTTTTGATGCAGCAACCCAGTTCACCCGCTTTGGACGGGTCGGGCATTCTTGATTGTCTTGGTACAAAAACTACCAGAACTTTTTCTTTGGTGGCTAGAGTCAACTGGTTTTCTTTTGAGTTCTGATACTAACGCTTTTTTGGCACTCTTTGTGATGCTCTTTAGGCATTTATAGTTTTGGTGCAAAAAATATTTCTGTTTCCATGTTGTTTTAAAATTTCAGATATTAACTGCAAACTTCGTGGTTTGCAGTACTCTTTTAAAATGAATTAATTGTCAAAAGGGCACTAGTGCATAAACTGAAAAAATAATTTGATTCCAGGTGCCAAATAAAAATTTCTGTTAATTTTTGTACCAAGATACTGAAGAATTTCTGACTTGCCCGAAGCGGATGAACTCGGTTGCTGCATCAAAACATGAGTTTTCTCTCGATACTTTAAGAACAGCAGATAAGTCAGATAATTTTTCTTAGTAAAAGTTAAGTCAGATCGTCTTCTTTTGATCCAAACAATATCGCAGTACCCTTTCTGATCATGTGCTTACGGAACACCCTGTACGTACTGAGTGTATACAGGCGGGACAGATGGAATGTAAAATATATAGTTTCTGGGCCAAATTTTCGTATTTTTTCTATTTTATTTTGGATCCTCTGTATTTATTTTCAAATTAAAGGCCAATTTTTCGTGTTTGTAAAAAAGCTATCTGTTTCAAAAATCTTTTTTTGGTAATGCACCAAGGTGCTATAATAACCAGAAAAGCCATATCGAATATTCAGGAAAAAGTACGTATTAAAGTTAATGTTTTGTATAATTAATATAAATAATACAATTTGCAATCTGAGGGTTAGTAGATCCCAGCCCAAAAAACTTACACAAAACGTATGTAAAAAAAACAATATATTTGTTATAAAATGCAGAATATACACAAAGAGCTAGTATACTACGACTTTGCTAGATATGGCGTAAGTAGATCTTAATAATAATTACGTATATCTATGTCTATACAGGGTATCAAAAATTATTTTAATCTAAACGACAATATATATATACAAGAAAAGCATTGGAACAATGATTGATTAACTGTTGAGTATACGAACCTCAAATAATAAGAGATCTGTAAATTTTTTATTGTTTCGTTTGCAAATTGGGTGAAATTCTTTAGTTTTGTCATAGTTTTTAGAGGAAAATAGTAGAATTCAATGATTCCAAGCGGACAAAAAAGTAACTTAATTATTGATCACTCACATACCCATATAGTTTTTTTTTTCATTTAACAGTTCTGTATTAGGCAATATATACCCAGTAAGAACCATTCAGCCATAATAAATTCGGTACTTGCAGGTAGGTAAATTCAAACAAGTTTAAAAATAATTTTAGACCACAAGCAATATAAAACAATTTAACTTCATAGAGGAGAGGCATCTAATTTGAACATCCGCTAATAAACTGAATCGAGTTTTTCAACCCTTTTCCCTTTAATTAGTGCCTAATTATCAATCCCGATTGATTTGGCACAAACATATCAAGACTTAATTTATACTAAATTGACAAAACATAACAGACTCTATTTTTAATAATTAAAATCTCCAGGGCAAGGTTCAGTGAATTGAATAAAACATGCACATGCTCTTTTTTTAAATCTACAATATTCATATAAAAAGGTGCAATAAAAGCACATATTTTAAGGCATGTGTCTGAGCTTTTTACAAAGTGACCAAATGCTTAAACTGTTCAGAGCTCAGAAGAGCGTTATAAGTTTGTTACTTGTTGATTGAAATATAAAAAATGGCTAATCAGTGCGGTCTTAGTAAGCCCATAACTTATGTCCAGCATAGTTAAATTTAATATTTTGAAACAAACCAATTTAAATAGAAATATACTATTTTGTTGGAAAACTATATGAAAAACTTAAAAGAACGTCACATCGCATTGCTAATTACAATTGCATTTAGAGAGTCTATTTCTCTAAGAAAATAAGTTAAATGCATCGTAATACGACTATTTGCGGATACATTTGCTTTCATCTTGTAATATACGTTTTATCCGATTATTACTTATTACACGACCATATTCTGAACAAATGGAGGTCGCAATGGGCCGGTTCACTGGTCAGCTTTGGTCCCTGGACTTTCCGCAATATCACTTAACCTGCAACAAAACAATATTGAACTTGAGAAACAGAAAGAAAGCTAATAATATCAAGAAGTTTACAAACATGTAGAATTATCTGCTTATAAACTTGCTTTATCGCAGCAATCAGTTTGATGTTATAAGCACGTAGTGTGATCACCCGTACATGTCATCTATTTTAAATTTTGCAATCAAAATATATCATATTGTTGAAATTTGCTTCTCCGATAGAGAAGCACTGTTTGCAAACATTACAAGGTGCTGCAATTAATAGAATCATCTGATAAGGAAAAAGATTAACGCTACGGAGGAATCTGTAAGGCACTTTCAGACGAAGATGCATTTATCAACAATAAACAATATAATGAAAGTAAATTGAGTCAAGTAGAAATATTCAGTTTTACTATTTGAGTAGTTTTTTCAAAAAAATAAATTCACACTAAGAAAGTCACTGTAAATTTAGTTTCAGTGAATGAACAATACATATGTTTCGAAATGTGAAAAGAAAACAGAACATGCACGTAAAAACTAAATTATTACAGCACTAATTTCGTTCCAGAGTTTAATTTAGAATTCACATTTTTTTTATAAGCAGCCATATACTTAATATACTGAATTGTTTAATGCCCAGATTTTATATGTGTTTTTGATAAGCTCTTCTGTTTACTTTCGTTGCTGGAAATAACTTTGCAGCAATCGAGTAAACATTACGAGCAATAAAAGTTCATTTTGAAGCAATAAAAAACGTCCGAATATGATTGTTTAAATGTACAATAGAGTAAACAATTACTAAATGGAAAAATTGAATGCTTACTTTGAATTGGTAGGTGATAACACTCGATTTTATTAAATAATGCTACCAAGAACAATATTATTCAGTTCAATGTATTATTTGCGTTGGCATTTCTCTTTTCTGTTTTTAAAACTAAAAAATACTAGTAGTAGTTACAAAAAAACACAAATTCAGCTAAAAACACAATAACGATTATTAATATAAAGCATTTATTGTTTTATATTACAAATTAGTAATACTGAGTAACAAATATTCACCGTCTTATTCACAAACCCCATTTCTGTGGTTTAAAAAAATCTTGTGTGCATCAAAAGATGAAAAGATATTGTTGTCCCACAATTAATAAAAATCGATAAAGGCGCTTAGGAATAATTTCGAAAAATTAGCAATATTAAATCGTGAACTCGTTTTCTGTAGCTGCAAAGCAAAACAAAAATATATCTGGCTAATTGAGAATAAAATGCGCTTTTTTGGTCGATAAAACTCGCACAACTACTTTTTTGTCAGCTGGTAGATATCTGGAGTAAATAGCTAATACGGTATTTTTTGCATTAATAAAATTTTCAGATTTAAAACCAAATCAAGATAATTTAGCTCAAGCTGAAAATCTATGAAAGCAATTTCCATAATTTAACACTTATTTCAATGGGTATTTAATGTTATACCATTAATTAACACATGTTAAGGTGCCTTTCCGGAATATCGTATGCAAAAGTTAACTATAATGAACATGTTATATTTCTTCCTCAATTTTTGGCTGCCAGTTTTTCAAACATGTTTCCAAATTAACTTCGAATCCTCAACAGGGTTTGGGCACCGGTTGGATCTGCAATTTAAGCCAATATTCCTGAGGCAACCCAAACGGAGCCTTTAATCGAGTTGTCTAATAATCCCGGAAATTCCATTTCAGTTACGCGTGTTTGCACTTCACATCATAATTCTGTATTTCTGTATCGAGGCGGGATGCAGTTTCAGCAGAAAAACACTGGGATTTTACAGAAGTGGAATTTTGCTTTGAATATTAACTATCCATGTCATGTCATGATTAAAGCGCGTTGTATTACTTAAATAGTAAATTTATGCCAGGAAATATAATGCTGGTTTTACCAATATGGAAAAAGATACTCATAAAACGTAGTTTATACACATTATTGATGAAAAAATAATTATTTCATTCACTTGTAATACTACAACCATCAAAGAAAATCTATGCAAGAATAACATTAAGAAAGTTAACATTTAGCAGTTTGTATTTAAAAATGGGTCACAAACATAATTGTACTGTTACATCTTCCCTATTCGAGTGTTTGGTATGCTTTTCTAATTTATGAGAGAGTCGATTGCTTAGTATTTTTGTTAGCTGTTTATATAGGTGCGACATAAGTGTTATAGGCCTATAGTTTTTCAGGAACCTATCTGTGGTTACCTTTTTTAAATATTCGCATTACTTTGGAAGTTTTCCACTCAGGTATTTTTTCCAAGTTCCAGACATTGATTGAAAATTATTTGCAAGTAGTGAAGAAGTTTTTCTCCGACCATTTTTATCATATCTATTAGCACGTTATTCGTCCCTGATGCTTTATTGTTCTTCATTTTTTTTATTGCTGCTTTAATTTGGTATTTGCAGATCGGTGGGATGTGGTGACGTCTCTTTTGTATGTCCGATAATTCCTGTGCGTACAAATTCTGGTAGAATCGTTCTATTGCTCTTATAATGTCCTGTCTTTCGTGTATTATTTGTCCTGTTTCGTCTATTATGTTTATTATTTCTCTTCTACCGTCGCTTATTTTTCCTAAATATGTAGGGGCCTTTGTTGTTTTCAATTATTTCTTCCATCATTTTTTCGTTATATTGTTTCACATGGTTTCTTACTTCTCTTCTGATTGGTTTGTTTATTACTTTCAGATCTTCGTCTGTCGTATTTAGTTTTAGTTTTTCGTTATTTCTCCTCCGTATTAGTTTCTTTGTCTCTCCTGTTTTCTTACGCAGTGCTTGTTTCTTTGGTGCATCTTTAAGGATTTCCTTTGCAGTGCTTATCAGTATATCTGTTATCTAATGGTTTAGTGTATCACTATCTGTTCCTTGAATCATAAGATCATTTTCTAGTGTTCCCTTAGTTCACTGAGCTTTATAGGTTTGTTTTTCTTAATTGTTAATTTTTTTCTTTTTTATATCTTGTAACAATAACATCTTTCCTTTTGAGACAACATTAAACAAAAAGATCATTGAAAAAAAAACAAAAAACATTAAAGCCAATTTTGAAGATTATTTTGCCTGTACTTACTTGAGTTGCATATTTTTTCGTCTCAGAGATAATCCTCACCGAAGAAACTTGAATTTCTGTGCATACGATAAACCCTTTATTGGGTTAAAAATTAAATAGTAGATTTCCTTATTTTATTTATTATAGTAACAAGAGCCAAAAACATATACTTTTCTTTTTCGAAATCTTTTTGTAAGGACCATAAGATTACATATACTGGGCACATAATATGGCACAACCAGTTATTCGCTCAATTAGATTAAGTTTCTACCTTTCAAGCCGAACGGCGATAAAGAAAGCCAGTTTTTTCAGTAAAGCACAAACACATACATTTTCTTTTCATCTTTATTTCGCCGCAATCGACAAAATCTACAAAAACAATCCGCTTTTATTTCTACTTTTCCAAGGTATGATTAATGATTGTACGAAAATAGGTCGAATGTAAACCAAGTTTATATCATTGATTTATTATTTTATCAGACAAGAAGGCTGCTCGAAAGCTCGTCAACTTTCAAAAAGGGGTGAATGAATAATATTCTTTCTGCCTACGGGAAATGGATGTTTTGTACATTTTTCATTGGCCGAATACGGTTTTTTCGCACAAAAAATTGAACAAAGCCAGTGTGAACAAAGAATGTGTATTTTTAAGTTGTCATGTACACGTAAAGTGATGTGAAATCGGTCTAACAACTCCGAAAACCATATATGTTTCTTGCCACACAAATTAAATCGATGGAACAACATGCGGCATCATTCAGTTCATGTGAATGTAACTATTTTAAACTTATTTCTTTGGATATTCCTGCGGTATATAAAAAGCTGAAAAATAAATGCGTAAACAACGCCAATGTATTTAAGGCCACCTAGTTTATTAACGTTAATTTATGGACCATTCTGAAGGTTGCATGTAAAATACCTAATTAGTTTATGCATCAGTGAAAGCAACGAAAACTTAACCGCGCACTAAATTCACTTCCACAGAGCTTGAACCGAAGACGGATTTTGGTCATGAATCGCTAATAAAAATCAAAAAAGTCATAAAAGAATTATTTAATAAATTAATAGATACTCACAATAGAGCACAGAGTATGTCCTTATCATGTACGTCGCATTTAGGGACAAAAATTATTCAATCAAACGTTTAATCTTGAAGGTCATACGAATAAGTAGTAAATCCAGACACTTAACATTATTTAGAAATAAAAGTAATAATTAGCTTCAAAAATACAACAAATAAGTAGAACTAGAAAATTTTTGAATAACTAAACACATTATAAATGTTGAAACTCCAAACCAAATTAAGATTTAATGAAACCAATCAATTAAAAATCCTATCAAATTTCTAGTAACAAAGACAATGTAACTTCTAAAAGAAACAAGATTCTCACATGATTTGCTAAAAATCAAGGGTTTATATTTGATTAAAACTTAGTTTATTTTTGCTTCAATAACAACCTGCTGCAGTTAAACGATAAAATAGTTAATATTTAGTTCCTAGTCAGTCTAGTCTCCCTTGAATTTTACACTTTAAACTTTAACAGTCAATGACGTGAAATAATCACTATAATAAGTTTCGTTTTAATTTTAGACCCATGTGATGGTCAGTGTCTGAAAGGGCTACGTTTGATAATATAGTACCTATTCCAGTTATTTTTTTGTGTAAGCACATTTTACTTTTTATTCAGTATTTTAGAATGTTAAAAAGATCAGAGCTGTTTATAATTTTTGCAATGCATGCAATGTCTTTGAGAAAAGTAGTATTAAGATGCCAATTTCACCTCTTTTATATGTTTTTAAAATATTTCAACATATTCAGCCAATTGTATTAATCGTGTCATTTTAAATAACTAGGTTTAGTTTCTTGACCGATATCGAATAATTGCAAGATGGTTGATTTTCCGATTTCCCCAAAAACGGATAACAAGACCGAATTCCCAAGAAACGCAACCATACTTTAAATA